CCCCCCCCCCCCCCCCAATCATACATGCAGATCCGTCCCTGTGTTCTGTAGAAAGAAAAATCGATCACTCAATTGATTTTTATCCAAAATCAAAGGGTTTGGCACCCTAGCCCCTACGCACTTTGATGGAAATACATATCAACAATATTAAAGTTTCATCTGCAGGAATGAGGATATTAGGTTTGGGGGTTCTTTGAGGAACATCGAACTTATGCAAGTCTCAATTCGCCTATAAAAATAAATCTAAGCCCAACAAAACTAAATCAAGGTTCGAACATTTACGGTTTAAAATTTTTGCAGACTTTATGCAGACTACAACCTTGGCTGAGTGGTCTCCACCGCTGCTTGTCGTGCGCTGTTGGGGTAGTCGGGTTGCTCAGCCGCGTGTTCGTCACTAAGTCGCCTCGCTGGCTGTTGTCTGCATTGTCGTGTTGCCTGGCCGCTTTGCGTGCTTAGTTGTCTTGCTCGGCTACGGCTGGGCGGCCGTCAGATGCATGTGTCGATTGTCGGTGTCCTGGTGAACATCGCTTGCTTGCTCGCGACTGGCGTGCTGCGTTGGTCTGTCAGGGATCGCCAGTGTGCTGGTGCACGTTACGTGAATCGCCGAAGCTGCTACTTGCGGTTAGCACTGTCAAACGGGCCGATCCGACCCAGCCCGCTCCGGCCCGTGCTGGCCCGCGGTCCAAACGGGGCGGGCCAAAATGGCCCGCATTTCTGCGGGCTGGAAAATACATAGCCTGTGGCCCGCCCGCATTAGCCCGCGGGCCAAATTGGCCCGCCCGCGGGTTTTGTTTTTTGTTTTTTGTTTTTTGTTTTTTTTATTATGGTATTTGTACTCTTATATATTTTTTGGTTTGTTTATTCTTATATTTACTAGTATATTAATAAACTAGTAAGGTTTCATGTGTAATGATGTTAAATATTTGTCATCTAGTTTTTATTTTTATTTTTTTTATCTATAGTTATAGGATATTTACGCGCAGGAACGACTTAATTGACATAAAATATTATTTGATTTATTAATATTTTTATTATGTAAAATAAATGTTTCATGTGCAAGATAAAAATTAGAAATAAAATAAAAAATACTACGTTTAAATAATTTATAAAAAAAAAGGGCCAGCCCGCCCAGCCCGCGGGCCAAACGGGGCGGGCCAAATAGGCCCGCGATTGAACGGGCTGGCCAAGCAAAGGCCCAAGCCCGTCCGTTTAAGCGGGCGGGCGGGCCAGCCCGCGGGCCACTGGCCCGTTTGACAGTGCTACTTGCGGTGGTGCGTCAGGGATCGCCGATGGTCGTGGGGCTGTGTGTTGTGGTGCGTGCCCTTGATTGACCTCGAGGACCTTT